TTGGTGTTATAGAGATTTTTTTAATTGATTTTGTCAAAAAATTATGTAAAAATAATTGTGTTTTTATTTTATTTTTATTGTCTAAATTTTATAAATTTTTTTTGTTTATGATAGAATTGTTTTCGAATTGATGAGAAACTATATTTTATTTTCAAATATAATTTTTTTGTTGTCATCAATCTTACAATCTATTATAAACAAATTTGATTTCCCTTCTTTATGAGAGATAAGACAAGTAATGTAAGCAGACTTTGTATGAATTGAAAAAGAAATATATGTCATCACATAAAATACTTGAAAGTGAAAATTGTTGGAAAGAATAAACAAAATTCGATTTACAATGAGAATGATTCAATTTAGTAAAGCCAAATAAAAAATCTACAAACCTGGCCACCAATTGATCCAGAAACCAGATACAATATGATGTAATTGTGCATTGAAATAATTGTAAATTCGTTATTATGTGTAGTCACAAGTTTGACACTAGTTTAGTTTGTCAAGGAAGAATTTGGCCAATTTCTTCAGTCTTATTGCTAATTGATACAAACAAAATACGGTGAAAAAATTGGATGAAGGGAGCCACATAAGTATGATCACAATCACATAGTAGATTTGATAAGGTAAATTTGTCAACAACATGTTTGACCGAGCATGATCTCCAAAATCTTTTTTATCGTTCATGGATTAGCAAGCATTTTTGCACAACTTTTGTTCACTGGTTTATTTTCGTCTATTTTGTGAAACTAATAATCATAATAGCAAAGTAGTTGTGAAGGCTAGGACCCATTTTTCATATATTTACAATATAAATTAAAACTCTAAACCCAATGAATTGATAATCATATCAAAATAATGAGATGCAAATAATGAAGACATCTCGGATAACGCAACATAGGATTTGATATGTTGTATTTTATGACAATTTAAGTTGCGAAAAAAATTCATGTATTAAATCTCATTATTTGATGCATGTATTTGGCTTGCCAAAGTCAGGAAAAAATATTATTGGTATTTTGGTGGGTAATGTTGATGGTAATATTGCAGGGCCAAAAGGTGTACCCAAAAAAGATGGAGCTGGTGTTAGACTTATTAAAAAAGCTATTAGGGACTGGCTTGCGACGCGTCCTAAACCTCAATACACGATGACTATAACCGCATACAACAGCTTTTGGAATGTTATGTCAGAGTTGAGAGCTACTAATCATGAAGTTCTCCTAGCTTTTGGGAACAGGAATACTGCTAATACTTCAACCAAGATTAGGAAGTTTGCAAATACGATTTGGGATTGGATAAACTTTTTCCTTCCTCAAGCCAAAATTTATTCTGCTGAAAAGATTGTTGAAGCTGAAATTGCTGAAGCTGAAAAGATTGATGAAGCTCAGAAAGATGCCATCCGACAACAGTTTGTAAATGACTATAACAAGCATGAAGTAGAGGTTAGTGGAGATGGTAATTGTAAGTTTCGAGCTATTTCTCAGTAGTATTTCAGATTTTCTGGGTTTCACACCACTGTTAGGGAATAAGTTGTGCAACCTGTGACTTATAAGTTTGAGATATTTCATTGAAATTATTATTTTTGATTGTTTTCCTAATTATTCTGTTTAAGAAAGAATAAAACTTTGGCATTGATGGTAGGGGTGGGCAAAAAAACCGAACCGATCTTTGTACTGTTGAAACCATCTAATTTGCATTTAGGTGATGAAAAAATAGATAATGAGTTGGACTAAGATCATACTGAATCCAAAACTAATGTTTTTAGGTGAAATTCTTCTTCAATGGAGATGAATGATCTTCTTCAACTATAGCTAGTAAAAACTTCTTAAAGTTAAAAAAAAAAAATGTTTCCTTTCATCTTTTGTTGGATACTGTTATTGTTATACTATATGAAAGAAAATCTGTAACTTTGGATTGTTGATCTTGAACACAATAAACACCAATTACAATAAACAAACTAAAAAAAGATAAAGCTTTGGGTTTGGGATTGTTCACGCGCCAGAACACAACAAGGCGCGTTGACTCCACGCGTCTATGGTTGAAAAAGAAGAATGTATTTTTATTTTTATTTTTTTTCTGCATCTTCTTCTTCAATCTGCAGACGAAGAAAGAAACATGTTTGTTTCCGATAACAATCCATCTCCAACATCACGTGACATAAACATGATAATCGATCTACCT